GCAGCAGGGCAGTGAAGACCGGACGCACACCCGGCCGAGGAAGGGTCTTTCCTGCTTTGCCTCCCGTCCTGACGTGAACGCCTCGTGTCAGGTCGTTGCCTGAGTGAAGCCCGTATGTAAAGGAACTAACTCTAGGCGTGGACTGTGAAATCAGTGTACGCACATAAGTTTTTCCCCCAGTGATCTCCAGAAGCATTTCGAATTTTTAGGCAGAGACTGCATCACCCATTAATGAAAGCTCCCCTTTGGGAGTAGGAGCAACAGCTGTTTTCCGGCCTTAGAATAGGTTCCCTCAGCACAGGAAGCAAAGATTAGGTTTTGCAATAGAAGGCTAGTGGACTTTTTTGTTTGTTTCTTTTGGAAGGAAGGCAAGAGGGCTGTAATTAACCTGTTCAAGCTTGGCCTTGAACTCGGAGATGAGCTTAATTACTTTTTGCTCTTGAACATTGTGTCACTCATCCCACTAAAGACCCCCACTAAAGATAGGCTTCCATTTATCTACCTTGGAAGAGATTTCGTTTCTTGCTACACAATGTTCTAAAATTTTGTCCTAGACTTAATTTTAATAGAAAATTTTCTAGTCAGTCCTCTGCACTCTGAGCTTTTCCTTGCGATTGTGCTGATAGCAGTTGGCATTCACGTCCCATTAATTGGTCAGGCTTGTTTTAGAATGCAGCCCAAACACCCCCCCACCCTTTAGTTTTTTTTTTTTTTGTTAATTGTGCTTCTGAGGACAGTTCCCACCCAGAGTAACTTCGTTTCCAGGAAGAGAAGAGCATTGTCATGGATGCAGCAGAATCTGTTTCTAGACCCAGGGGTCTCACTGGGCTCTGCTGAGAGGTTTGCATATTTCTGTACGGAGAGTCCAGAATGTTAGTGGTTCTCTCTCTCTCTCCCCCACCTACCCTCTTCTTGTCCTAAAAAGCCTTCCTGATCCGTAAACTGAGAATAATGGCCCATATCTGTCAGAATTGAGAGCCTGATACACTCTTTTTTCCCTCCAACTCATCTGCTCACTGTACTTTCTCTACAGAGTTGCTACAGTGAACGGAAGAAAACACGTAACTTAGAGGCTTACGTGGAATGGTTTAATCGCCTCAGCTACTTGGTTGCTACAGAAATTTGTATGGTGAGAAAATGAATATTTTTTCTCTTCTAGCTCTATCTGTATTATTTTTTCATGCTTATTATATATCTGTTGGGCCTACATGTTAGATCGCTGACCTCTTTTTTCTTTTTCTATGCAGCCTGTTAAGAAGAAGCACCGAGCAAGGATGATCGAGTATTTCATTGACGTGGCTCGGGAGTGTTTTAACATCGGCAACTTTAATTCCTTGATGGCAATAATCTGTGAGTGTTTTTCCGGAAGATCTGAGTTCTTTATTTTTATAGGTCTTGTGAAATGTATCCATTGAAAATTTGCCAGTAGTATGGTTTTGTTAATGAAAACTGTACTCTTCAATCCAGAATTGTTTCAGAACGTTCAGAATGCTTTAACTATCCAAATTGGTACAAAGATGTACAATCTTTTCTCAATGTATGAGAATTCATGGGATACATTTAGTCAGTTTATCCTCATCTGAATGTTTATCTGTAAAAGTTTCAAGTGAGATATTTGTCTAAATGATGGGTTTCAGAAAGTGTTTGGGCAGCTTGTGTAATTAAGCATTATAGAAGTATCTGATCTGAGACTAAATTAAATGATTCCATCAGCAAGACAAGAGGGTGGCCGTAGAAAGTGGAACATTTTCTGACTACCCATGTTCCTAGCAGTTACCCTCCACAGACCTTTTTACCCTAGTGTGTAAACTTTGCTCCTCTCTAGACCATGGGGATTTTAATGCCAG